ATCACCGACGTAATCGCCTTGAGTGGTGCAGACAACGGTCACTCAGGGATCAGGAATGGAACAGTATTGTCTTTAGTGACAAGTCTCGATTTTGTTCAGGCATGCACGATGGTCGTGCCAGGGTTAGAAGGCGACGTGGTGAAGGGAGGAATCCACAGTTTTTTGTTGAAAGACATGTTCATCACACTGTTGGAGTTATGGTTTGGTGTGCTATAGCTTATGGTTCCAGGTCACCTTTAATCTTCATCAGAGGTAACATGAACGCGCAGCGTTATATCCACGAAGTTCTAGAACCCCATCTTTTACTCTATCTTGACACCCTGGCAGGTCCAACTTTCCAACAAGATAATGCCCGACCACATGTTGCAAGAGTCACAATAGACTTCTTTCAACATAATGATGTCACATTGTTAGCATGGCCACCAAGATCTCCCGACTTATCCCCAATTGAGCACGTGTGGGATATGATGGGTAGGAGATTGCTCAATTTGCAACGTCCTCCTCAGACTCTAGAAGCACTTCGAGAGGAGTTGGTGGTTGTCTGGAATGAGATACCACAGGAGGACATTGACCACCTGATCAGAAGCATGCCTAGGCGCGTTGGAGAATGCGTAGCACATCAGGGTGCATCCACACATTATTAAAGGTCAAAGGGCTTTAAAGCAGTGCAATCATTTTGAAATTTTTATCATTTACTTATTATGCTTCATTAAGTGCTTATACAAAATTTTATTAAAATAAAACCATTTAAACTGGGTTTTCGGATTTATATGTCACTTAGTATATTTTCCGAGAAAACAAAATCGACCGGTAGCTTTGGCTTACAGGTGGTTCTCCGATATAGGGTGATGCAATTTTAATGAGGTAAAAGATACTTCATATGGTATTCATATGCTAGCTCTGAATCCAGAACTGGCTTATACGACCGCTCCTTTCTCCCTAAGGTATTGTGGAACAATCTACCTGAGAAAGCTTTTCCAAATTCTACTAACCTTAGACAGTTCAAAAATCAGATTAACAAATTTCATAGCAGCCGCAGTGCCCCGGTTTAAATGCAGAAATCCTCGATTCACGTCCTATAGTCTGAGACTTACTGAGATATGCAATACGTATTTAATTTATTTTTTGTTTTCGGAGATTGATTGTAAGGAATATATATTGGATGTTATAGGATGAAAGGATCCCCACGCCTGAATTTCGATTTCATTTTCTGAACGTCTACGCATGATAAGGTACGTGTACAGCTACTCTTACAAAAAGCTGTAGGTCTGGTCCGAAATTGAAATTGATACAGTAGGTCAATGATGAGACTGAAAGTTCACGGACGTACATACTTTCTACTTGATTTCAGAATAAGAATGCCAACGTGTTGATTGATTTATTCCGAATGAGATTTCACTTTTCCTTGAGCGTCTAAAAAACTTCAATATTATGATGCAATCGTCCATAGGTGCAACTTGATGCCCCTATGAAATACGAGGGATGTCTTTTAAGTTTTGCATATGGAAATAAAACAACTCGGTAGGTAGTTTTAAATGACTTTATTGGTTTTCGAAGTATTCTCCACGAAGATTAATACACATCTGCATGCGCGCGAACCAATTTTCGAGGCACTGATTCCACTCGTTTGCTGGCAGATCCAAAAAGGGCATTTTTGAATGCGTCAACTGCTTCTTCTGGTGACTGGAACCGTTGGCCACGCAGTCTGTTTTTAATTTTCGGGAAAGTAAAGAAATCGTTAGGACTTAGATCGGGACTATATGGAGGATGGTCCAATAATTCCACGTTTTCTTCCGTTAGATACTGCCTTGTTTTTTACTACATTAACAAAGGCACGAGGGGTTGGTTGCACTCGATTGGGAAACCGATCCGCATAAACATGTGCCATTATTTATTTCGTTTGAGCCACGCAACAGACACCACTATCCACTACCGACTGACACTGACTGTTTACAACTGAATGAAATAATTGTAAAAACATTGTTCCAAATTCTTTCGCTTTTTGTTTCCGATGCGATGAACCGATAAGGCGAATTATATCCGTTGTCGCCAAACACGAGCACATAATATTATTATTGAGACAGGGCGGTACTCAAACTTCCAAAGGGCTATAACTTTGTTACTTTAATTTTACCAGAAAAATGGTAAAGGAAAAAAACATTTCTTTTGATCAGATCTACTCACTGTTAAAATAAATGACTCAACTTCGAAGTCACCCTGTATAAAAAGTTGCTTAATAAAAGAAATGGTAAAAGCTTAAAAATTTTAAAAAACAAGAATGTTATTTCACAGTTGATGTTTTCGACCACTGCCAGGTAAAATGATAGCGTTTTCTGTTTACTACTGTTATCGTTTATCTAAGTTTGGCAAACTGTTTGTGTTACTGTATGGTTTTCAGTACGAGTGTTTGGTTGGATCAGCTGTATCAGTCTTTTAATAGTGCGTATACTTTCATTTGTCTGATTGTTTTCTGCGAAAAAATGGCCCACGTTTACGAAAAAAATGACCTAGTGGACACAATACTCACACACGGAAAGTGCCGGCAAAATGCAGCAGGTTGTACGCGGAAAGGTTTACTTTAGGAAATCATCCGGTCCCACAGATGTTTGTAAATTTAGTTCTTAGACTTCGTGACACAGGATGTTAAAAAGAAGAACGCGGAGGTCAAGCTGGAAGACGTACTCAACCTGAAATGTTACAAATTGCAGAAGACATTTTAGAAATGGTCGAATAACAAGTTTTACGAAATTAATTTTGTGTACAGACGAGGCCACATTTACACGAAATGGAGTGCACAATTTCCATAACAATCATGTTTGGGCATTGGGTGTTTGGGCTGACGTAGTAAATGGCATGCTTATTGGATCCTACTTTTTTCCACCTGGACTGACCTCTAAAATTTATTTAGATTTTCTTCAACACAAGCCGCCAAAATTATCAAAAGATGCTCCTCTAAATGAGAGACAGAATATGTGGTTCCTACATGATGTTTAGACGAGGAGTTCATGGAGATCTAAATAACGAGTTTCCGATTAGATGGATAGGACGCAATGGACCCATTTCTTGGCCTGCTCGCTCCCCGGATTTAAAGCCTTGCGATTTTTTTCTGTGGGGCATTTAAAAGAGGCGGCGTATCATGAGGGAGCAATAAATACTCTGGAAGAACTTGAACAGCGCACTGAAAATTGTTGTGATTTAATTCGTGAACACCAGGATTTTATTTTCAAGCTTGTAAACGGGGACAATTTTGAACACTCTTTGTAAAAACGGTATTCATTTAACTTGATAATGTTTTTTTATAATTTCTAATAGTGTAAACTAACTCTCTTATCAAGCATCTTTTATATAGGTAATTTTAATTTAAAAAAAATTACTCAACTGTAAGAACACCCTGTATTTTTTGATCGAACATAATTCCTAAGTAATCAACATGCTCTTAACGCTTAAGGCCAACGGTCCAAGGTAGTACTCGTATTCAAAAATTAAAATATTCTGTTTTCTTGTACTTGGGACAATAGGTATACCTGTATATAGTCGAAATCACGAAAGATGACGATTACGTCATCATTTTAGTCTGTAGTAAATACAAACGACAGCCATTTGTGAATATATATATATATATATATATATATATATACTATATAAGTGACATATAAATCCGAACACCCAGTTTAAATGGTTTTATTTTAATAAAATTTTGTATAAGTACTCTCGAAGTGCTTCTAGAGTCTGAGGAAGACGTTGCAAATTGAGCAATCTCCTACCCATCATATCCCACACGTGCTCAATTGGGGATAAGTCGGGAAATCTTGGTGGCCATGGTAACAATGTGACATCATTATGTTGAAAGAAGTCTATTGTGACTCTTGCAACATGTGGTCGGGCATTATCTTGTTGGAAAGTTGGATCTGCCAGGGTGTCAAGATAGGGTTAAAGATAGGGTTCTAGAACTTCGTGGAAATAACGCTGCGTGTTCATGTTACCTCTGATGAAGATTAAAGGTGACCTGGAACCATAAGCTATACCACCCCAAACCATAACTCCAACAGTGTGATGAACATGTCTTTCAACAAAAAACTGTGGATTCCTCCTTTCACCACGTCGCCTTCTAACCCTGGCACGACCATCATGCATGCCTAAACAAAATCTAGACTCGTCACTAAAGACAATACTGTTCCATTCCTTATCCCAGAGTGACCGTTGTCTGCACCACTCAAGGCGATTACGTCGGTGTTCTCGAGTTAAAGGGAGGACCCAGTGTGGCCGGTCCACTGCCCCTTGCTCTTTGCGTACGGCCTTCTCGAAGCCATGCCTGACAACACCTAACCACAGTGTCTACACTTCTTTGCACTCTAACTGCAATTGCCCGAAAAGAAAGTCCAGCTTCCCGAAGTCCCACTATACGGCCCCTATCAAACTCACTAAGTTGACGAAACGTACAGCTCTCCATACTCTAGGCATCTCCATACTCTAGGCATCGTAACCGATCGTAAAGGATGTCAAGAACCAAAATCCGCCAACGTTGATTCTTTACTGCGGCTGAAATATTCATTTTTAGAGCGTTAGTGAATTAAAAAAAAACAGTATAAAAACCGGAATGTAAAACTGATAAGGCTGAAAAATTTTTCACTTGTTATTTACAGTAAGATAAATACATTCACCAACTTTTATTAAAATAAAACCATTTAAACTGGGTGTTCGGATTTATATGTCACTTAGTATAGTTATGTTAAAGCAGGTTATGTTGTTTTCGAATAATACTTTGGTCTTTGGTGTTCCTGTATTCCACTCATAACTGTTTTTTTTTAAACAAAAACTCCCCACTAAAATTATTATTAAGGTATCACTCAAAATCATGAAATAAAATGTAAATAAAAATAATCAGTGAAATAACCTAACTTCGCAAAATTATAATATAAATTTGTCATCATTATGTTCCTGACAAAGTGATTTTATCATCGACGTACGTCCATTGATTACTTCAGTACAATTTAGGGTATGACGTACTAGGCATCTTTCGTGATTTTGACTATAGTGGTCCAGCTTTCTATACTTATGTGCAACGGGGTCTTATGCTTCCGGGCAAACTTTGCCTGATAACACATTGTCCGAACATCCTCCTTTCTTTCCCCAGACGCCCAACCCGTAGCCCAACCGAAGATGCCGGCCATCTACATCTCCAAATACAACCGTTTTGTGGACAATGTCATCACGAGAATCAACCGCATCCTCGGCAAGAATTTTGACCCCGTTCGTGTCAAGCTGCAGTCGCCCAGCGAAGTAAAGAAAGCGCAAAAGCAACAACAGAAGATCAAGAATCAGGGAAAAGGGAAAGGAAAGGGTAAGGGTAAAGGAACGAGGTCTGGTCAACAACAGAAAGCGGAAGACATGAAGAATAAAATGGCCGAATTGCCTGTGCAGAGGTCGGAGAGTAGCGATGTAAAAGAAGATAGAAGGACAATAGGTAAGTGGAGCCTGAAGTGTGTTAATGGGTGTCCCATTTCAATCTCCCCACCTAGAGATTCCGAATAATCCACGAATTATAGAGGAAACGGTCCAAACAAAAGTTGTAGGGGAACAGGGCGAAATTATGGTGACCTTGACAATGATTTCGACCTTCAAGGTCATCACAATGTCAAGCAAATATTTTCAAATGGAACTGTCCCTTTTTCACGCCGGACTTACAGAGAGGAGAAATTTTAAGTCCAAGTACTCGTATGACCTTGATTATGACCATCACCTCGAACTTCAAGGTCATTACAAGGTGAAATCAAGACATTGAAAGCAAAAATGTTCGACAGCACAGCTGTGAGCTTTGTGGGGCTCACTCAAAGGTGATTCTGACCATGACCTTGTCCATCACTTTCAAGGTCATGTCAAACTGTTAATCGACTAAATATGAAATTTCCTGCTGTCTGCACTTTTGGCATAAAAATCAAGGGAGCTATATAACATTTCAGATTGACATGAACTTGACTTTAATGTCAAGGTCACATTTCGATGTATCGTTTCCTGCTTTTTTCAACTCCAACTGATTTTAAAATTTTATTTTGATTTTGAAGATCATGGTCAAGATCATTGGCAAGGTTAAAGTCATTGTAGAAGCTGTGATCAAGGTCAATGTCAAAGACAATGTCAAGGTCACTGTCATGGTCAAGGTCAATGTCTAGAACAATGTCAAGGTCGCTGTCAATAGCAATGTCAATTTAAGGTCAATTTCAATGTTATGGTCAAGGTCAATGTCAATTTCAAGGTCAATGTCATAGTCAAGGTTTCTGGCAAGGTTACCTCTAGGTGACCTCCACAAAACCTCAATTCTGCAGTCGAACATTTTATCTTCAACTGATCTTAAAGGTCATAGTTATGGTCATAGACGATGTCATCCTCTTTTCAATACCGGTGTAAAAAAGCGGGGTTCCTTTTGAAAATATTCGCTGACCTTGAGATGACCTTGAATTCAATAGAAGTCGTTTTCTCCGTGACTTCGACAATTTTAGTAATTTGAGTTGCTGAATTCGAAGATCATAGATACGCAAAAGTTTTTAAAACTTTTCTCATTGGAACTTTCGATATAACGAAATTCGTCTTTGATATTTTCAGAGAGCGAAGCCCGAGAACCATCTTTCGTCCTAATCTCCAAAACCGGCTCTGAAGATTCCGCCAACACAACTGAAGAAACTGTCCAAAGCCCTGCCACTAGCGCACCACAAGTGAGAGAAACTAACGTCACCAGAAAAAACTCCAAACCGAAAAGGAAGAACACTACGAAATCTGGAAACAAAAACAAGAACAAGACGAAGCAGGGAAACAATGCCAACAAAAATAAGAAAAAGGCACCGAAGGCCAAAGCGACGTTGTTTGGATTGAGCTCGATTAAGAGAGATGGTGACGTTGTGGTCAACATGCAGGCTGATCACACTACCGTTAAGTCGAACTTCGTCTTAGGGCCGCTAACTTTGAGAGTCGAAAGAGAGGTAAGCTAAGAAGGTTGGCCATGCACTTCCCTCGCAACGTTATCAGCATGCCATATTACACGATTATGTTCCGGCCAAGTTAGTCCCTCTGAACTAGCTACAAACATGTATAACAAAGAAATTAAATGGATTAACTCGGTCAAACAGGCCCATGCAATTATGACGCTTACGCTAGTGTCTTCCCTGCTCTAAGTATCCACCATCTGGCAACGGTGCTGAACCTCACTAGTATAGTAAGTTTAGAGAACCGGCGATGCAGTCAGAGTCAATCGGACGCAGACACGCAAACATGGGTACATTTCTGGATTTTTTTCAAGATTTGTCCCCAATGGAAAAATCTGCTACCCCCGTTCTTCAAAACAGTTTTGGAGGCAAATTCACTTTCACAAAAAGTTAACCTCTTACCGATGATCTGTCCCCCTGAGTAAAATTCCTGCGGACGCTTGTAACTATATCTATATTTCCCAGACCTTTGTTATATGGTTGCTGGCGAAATTTAATAATTACGGAATTTCAAAAAAGAATACAAATAACCCTAAAGCAAATAAATAACACACGATCACTATTTACTGTGGCCCGTACAATCAGCGCCTAATATATAACTAGCGCAGTTGCTGGCACGCTAACGCTATGCAAAATATTGCACGTTGATGTCTTTATTTAAAACCTCACGTAGCGCAGTTGCTGGTATGCTAATGCAATGCTAGCGATAACTTTATCCCTATCTCTAATCATTTTTTATCCTTTGGCATCTTTGATCTGGTATCTGGTATCAGGTATCTGGTATCTGGTATTTGGTATCTGGTGTCTGGTATCTGGTATCTGGTATCCGGTGTCTGGTATCTGATGTCTGGTATCTGGTATCTGGTGTCTGGTATCTGGTATTTGGTATCTGTTATCTCTTTATCTGGTATCTGGTATCAGGTATCTGGTATCAGGTATCTGGTATCTGGTATCTGGTATTTGGTATCTGGTGTCTGGTATCTGGTATCTGGTATCCGATGTCTGGTATCTGGTATCTGATGTCTGGTATCTGGTATCTGGTGTCTGGTGTCTGGTATCTGGTGTCTGGAATCTGGTATCTGGTGCCTGGTGTGTGGTATCTGGTATCTGGAATCTGGTATTTGGTATCTGTTATCTCTTTATCTGGTATCTGGTGTCTGGTATCTGATATCTGGTGTCTGGTATCTGGTATCTGGTGTGTGGTATCTGGTATCTGGTGTCTGGTGTCTGGGATCTGGTGTCTGGGATCTGGTGTCTGGTGTCTGGTGTCTGTTGTCTGGTGTCTGGTATCTGGTGTCTGATGTCTGGTGTTTGGTATCTGGTATCTGGTGTCTGGTATCAGGTATCTGGTATCTGGTGTCTAGTATCTGGTGTCTGGTATCTGGTGTCTCGTATCTAGTGTCTGGTATCTGGTGTCTGGTATCAGGTATCAGGTATCTGGTATCTGGTATCTGGTACTTGGTATTTGGTATCTGATATCTGGTGTCTGGTTTCTGGTATCTGGTATCTGGTATCTGGTGTCTGGTATCTGGTGTCTGGTATCTGGTATCTGGTGTCTGGTATCTGGTATCTCGTATGTGGTGTCTGGTATCTGGTGTCTGGTATCTGGTATTTGGTATTTGGTATCTGTTATCTCTTTATTTGGTATCTGGTATCTCGTTTCTGGTATCTGCTATCTGGTGTCTGGTATCTGGTGTCTGGTGTCTGGTATCTGGTGCCTGGTGTCTGGTATCTAGTATCTGGTGTCTGGTGTCTGGTATCTGGTATCTGGTATGTGGATCTGGTATCTGGTATCTGGTGTCTAGTATCTGGTATCTGATATCTGATATCTGGTGTCTGGTATCTGGTATCTGGTGTCTGGTATCTGGTGTCTGGTATCTGGTGTCTGGTATCTGGTATCTGGTGTCTGGTATCTGGTATCTGGTATCTCGTATGTGGTGTCTGGTATCTGGTGTGTGGTATCTGGTATCTGGTATTTGGTATTTGGTATCTGTTATCTTTTTATCTAGTATCTGGTGTCTGGTATCTGGTATCTCGTTTCTGGTATCTGCTATCTGGTATCTGGTGTCTGGTATCTGGTGTCTGGTATCTAGTATCTGGTATCTGGTATCTGGTGTCTGGTGTCTGGTATCTGGTATCTGGTTTCTGGTATCTGGTATCCGGTGTCTAGTATCTGGTATCTAGTATCTGGTATGTGGATCTGGTATCTGGTTTCTGGTATCTGGTATCTGGTGTCTGGTATCTGGTGTCTGGTATCTGGTATCTGGTTTCTGGTATCTGGTATCTGGTATCTAGTACCTGTCATCTTTTATAAGTTTTCATTTTTCGTTTTCCGTTTTCCGTTTCCGTTTTCCGTTGTCCGTTTTCCGTTGTCCGTTTTTCGTTCTTCGTTTTTCGTTTTTGGTTTTTCGTTTTTCATTTTTCATTTTTCGTTTTTCATTTTTCATTCTTCATATTTCATTTTTTATATTTCATTTTTCATTTTTCATTTTGCATTTTTCATTATTCATTCATTTTTCATTTTTTAATGTCGCATGTGTCACCATTAATAGCACACAATGGCATTATAAAATCTTCGATATAGCATTAATGCCCTCTATAAAATTGTATGACAAACTCAGATTTATGTGAGGAGCCGGCAACGTCGCATGTGTCACCATAAATAACACACAATGGCATTATAAAATCTTCGATATAGCATTAATGCCCTCTATAAAATTGTATGACAAACTCAGATTTATGTGAGGAGCCGGCAACGTCGCATGTGTCACCATCAATAGCACACAATGGCCTTATAAAATCTTCGATATAGCATTAATGCCCTCTATAAAATTGTATGACAAACTCAGATTTATGTGAGGAGCCGGCAACGTCGCATGTGTCACCATAAATAACACACAATGGCATTATAAAATGTTCGATATAGCATTAATGCCCTCTATAAAATTGTATGACAAACTCCGATTTATGTGAGGATCCGGCAACGTCGCATGTCTAGCTACCGCACTTACAAAAAATGGCGCTTGACACTTGACATATGTGAACCGTGTTCGCCTAAGGATAGCACGTTCTTTCTTCAGTGTAAATGTTTTATGATTTGACAGGAATGAAAATTATGTTTACCTTTTTTAAATCTGCTGACGATTAATAAGGGTACCTCTCAAACTTCTTCAAGGATGAAATACATTATCACGATAGATATACACTGAGGCACTTCGTCTGAACCGAAAAAGTGTAAACACTAGGCACCGGGTATCACTAGACTGTTGTTATTTGTTATTATATTATGCTATAAGCACAAAGTCTTGCTCAAATGTTGTGGATTTCTGGTCTCTTCAGGAATTGATCTTTGGCACTAATTAGGTCTTACAATCATATTTGTCGTATTTAAGCTGATGATGACTTCTACAAATTGCTAACCGTCACACCCGATTCCACTACATAGTTGGGGGTAAAAGACAGGAATGAAAATTGTTTACCTCATTTAAATTTGCTGACGATTAATAAGGCTACCTTTTAAACCGCTCTCAAACGTCTTGAAAGATGAACTAAATTATCTATAGATACACTGCGGTACGTCGTCTGAACCGAAAAACACTCTGCACCACTAGACACTTGCAAGACACACTGCTATAAGCACAAAGTTTTGCTATATTGTGGACTTGTTGCCTTTTTAGGATGGATCCATATAAACGTTCATCTAAAATTATGCCACTCATTAGGGTTTACAATCATATTTATCGTATTGAAAGTGATGATGACTTTTGTAAACAAATCGCTAAACGTCAAAGCCTAAATGCTTAGCTGCCGGTAAAATTACATCGTTGCCAAGGCATACTTGATTATCATTATAATAATGGCTATAGTCCGGTCCGTTTAGACTATGAAATATAGAAATTTTGAATCTTTTCGAAAATGTTGATTTTCACGCGTAAAAAAGGACAATTCTATTTGGCGTGATCCAATATTCGATGAAGCGACCAACATAAAGCCGAAAATGGCACGTTTCGGACGTTCCGCTCGCACTCGCTCGCTTTCGTAATACGATTATACCTACATTACCCCGCCTAACAGGAATCTGGGGATCTGGAGGGGAAATTCAAAATTGAAACTTCAAACTAAAAATATCTGCATATCTTTGAATTTTCTAATCTGCCGAGTTTAAAAAATGCGATCGGGTAACGTGTCATATGTCGGTTTAATCAGGAGACTTTGGTCTTTCGTTTTGCGAAAAAAAATCGTAGCTACGTCGCTCCGTAACGCAGGTCCGTATCGACGAAGACAAAGTACGCCGAAAAACGGCTGTCATCGGTACTTTTGAGGCGCTCAAAGTTTACTTTTTCGAAATTTGACGGTAATTCTAACGGTCAGAATCGTTTCCTCAGCTCATTATCGTTATTTTTCGATAGCTGTATAATTTTTACTCGCTCACGTACGGTAGTAATAGGCGAACACAGAGTCGAATGACAAAGTGACTTTTTCGCGCGTCGAAAATTAGCGTGTTGTCGGGCAATTTTTAAAAAATCGAAACTTTCGAACGACAAGGGATAAAGGAAAAAAAAAGACGCTATCTTTGAGTCCGATGTCCGGGCTTTCTCACGCAAAAATCGTCAGGTTCCTGGCTCCTTTATCTTCGGAGGAGATAGAAAAAGCGCGTCGAACGGCACGAAAATCTACCGATTTTTCAACTTTACCGGCCATTTTCGATCGCGTTCGTTCCTCCTACCGCGACAACTCTCGCTCCATCGTAAAGCGCCGAGTTTCTAGTTTCCGAAACGGTATCGTTTTCCTTCCGAACGTTCCGCGAACCCGGAAAAAAACCGGAAAAATCGGAAAGTAGCGCGTAGTCGAGGAAATCAAAAAAATCGAAATTTTCGAACGAAAAGGCATAAAGAAAAAAAAAGAAAGCCGCTATCTTTGAGCCCGAAGCCGGGGCTTTCTCGCGCAAAAATCGCCAGGTTCGCAGCTCCTTTATCTTCGGCGGAAACCTATGTTGAACGTCGGACAGAACGAAAATCTACCGGTTTTTTCGACTTTACCGGCCGTTTTCGATCCGATCCGTTCCTCTCACCGCGACGGCTCTCGCTTCCCGGTAAAGCGCCGAGTTTCTACTTTCCGAAACGGTACCTCTTTCCCTCCGAACGTTTCGCGAACCGGGAAAAAAAACGGAAAAACCGCGTCGACGTCATACGACAATTTCCGAACCACTACCAATTATACCAATTACTACCAAATCGAACAAAAGATCAACGCTTAATATTATCGATCACAAGATGCTTAAAGAAAGAGAATTAATGGTTGTTATGATGTTTTATATAATGTACATTTTTATTAATTATTGTTATGACAAACTTAGGTTAAAGAGAACCGGCAAACGTGTAAATGGTTTCGCAGCCCTAGCTAAGAGCTTGTAGGCGTTCGGGTTTTGCGGGAAACGGAATAAACATGTGGATCCCAATTCACTATCGCATTATAAATTGTATATCATCTCTAAACAATTGTTAGGCACAAGATGTAAGCTCTACCATTTCTAAAAAGAGTATAAGCAAGTCTCTAAAAATGTCTACTGGATACTTATTTATATTAGGTATGCATTTACTGTCATTATTGGATATACAGCTTCATGAAAGGTGGAAAACTGGAGAAACTTGAATATTATCCAAATTAATACTCAAATTGCCACATTTGACAGATGACATTTAGTGATAGTACCAACTTCTGGTGTACGGGAATAGGAGTTAGTACTCATATGCTCAATTGAATAGTACCGTGATTGTTATCTATGTCATAAATCAAATTCAAGCGGATAACCAAATGGAAATAGTATTTACCATTTTGGGTTTATTGATTCAGCAGAAATGATGAAAAAAGATATTAGCAAAACCATATACAGGTGGACATCATCTAATGTTTATATGGCCATATTTTAATATTCTTGTGGTATATGGCTACACAGGATACTTTGTTAAGCATAGGAACTACATTTAAAGTGTTCCCAACAACCGTAATGAGTATAACTAATAAGGTGCTCCACTTTAAGGTAAAACAGCCTGTATCAATTTTCACAAAAATGAAGCTGAAGTACAATAACAATATAACAGCTGATTCGTGACGTCACGGATCTTATAACCAAACTGATAACTACACTCGCTTGAACGGATTGGTAAATACCAACCCAAATTGGTAAATACCATTTCCATTTGGATATCCGCTTGAATTTGATTACAGAAATTTTGGTTATTTGCTTGGATTTGATTATTATTGCTGAACTAGTATAGTACTAACTACCGGTGGATACAAGTAGGTGCTGATACTCACCCGTTTTCAAAATTATACTATAAGCGTCATCTATGAGGCGATATTAAAAGCTTATCTCATGCAAAAAGAAATTAAGCAGAAATCTTCCTCGACAGAGGTAAAATTCGCAACCAGAGGCGTGCATAATCAAATATTTATCACTTATCGAATGCTAATCTTCCATATCCCAACTCCCGAAGGCTTATATAAACAATTCCAATTCTATATTTCAGTACGCCAGCAATGGTAGAAGAGAACTGAAAAGCGCGACAGCTACAACAGCAGAGATGTTCGGAAGAATCAATTTGAAACTAGTACATGGTGGCGCTGCTACTTTACATTCTATTCGAGTTCTGCAACCAAAACAGGTAAATATGTACAAGTGAAACTATTCTCACTTATTCTGAAGAGCAAAAACTTTACCAACGTGACCACTTGAGAAAATTGACTACCTCATGCTCTTCGAAAAATTTCTGCAGCTGTTACTTCCTGTCTTAACCTCTGGGCAAAATTCCGGTGGGCGCCCATGCCATCTTTATCATAAAGATAGGGAGAGTAGATCTGATCAGAAACCATTTATTGCAAAGTAAGATGAATGCACAGACTGTAAAAGTGGCGCATTCGACGCAGTTTTTAATAAACGTTTCTTGTCTGTGTGAGTAGACTACGATCATATAGTTACCCCAGACTATAAGTAGATCAACAGTGGCGCTCACTAGTGAGTACTACTGGAGTTACTTTAAGACAACAGATATATCTACTTTTTTTTAATACAATGGTATAAGCAATTTTTTACTTAATTTAGGTGAGAATCGACAGCCCGGACGACCACGACAAAACAAGAGAATTCTTATGGAAAAGAAGCGCTCACATTGCATCCATGGTGTCTTCAAAACTTGCCAATGCAGCCAGGTCCATGTTGAAACCTCCCTTAACGAACTAAGAAATTATTTAGGTATTATAATATAGCATAAACCCTTTTTTTAGATATGTCGAAGAACATATTGAAATCATCATGCCAAATGGTCCAGTAGTTGTAGGTTGTTGTGCGTTTGCAAATATTTTGCTACGCTCATTTAATGAGATATATATATATATATACAGGGCGGTTTCCTAGTGTGGGGCACTGCAAACCTTGCATTGAAGATCACCTTGTGTAGGATATTTATTACTGGGGTAATAGTGGGTATAAGACTTTGCTAAAAGTGAAAGCCATGGTGGTTGACTCCTAAAGTACAAAGTTTAGGTATTTAGGCATTAATAGTATGGGAAATAATTTATTTTACTTAGATGTTGGAGTTCCTTAAACTTCTTAAGCTGGGACATGTTGCATATTTGTCTTAGATAGGTGATAGATTTTCTGATCTGCTTTACTTGAAAGTTATTTATTTTTATTTATATTTTTTAATATTTATTTGTAGTATTGTAGTGATTAGACTTTTGTATTTTTTATGAATAAAGACGATAAAGAAGATAATTGTTCTTTGAATTCAGTCATCAACCACAATTTCCATCTTGAAAATCGCACTGTGGTATTCATGAAAAATTTCCTGCTAACTTCAACAAAAAAAAAACAATTTGAGGTCGCAGCAACCTGCTATTTTTTATTATTTTATTTATTTCTTGACCTAGCACAGTAAATAGGTACAACAAGAAAAAGTGCACTTTTCACACAAATTCAATTCAGATGCCAGATACTGATTGCCGACTACAAAATTTACTGGTACCTAGAGGTGGATGTGTATGTAAAACTCCAATGTTTGGCTCTTTTCCCCATTTTTCCATGTTCCTTTTTCCCTGACACTTTACCAGAAGAGCTAAGGTCTTACGGACCGTTGTGACAACTTGACTTCCGATTTATCCAAAGCACAACTCTCAAATTCAACAGGTATATGTTACCACAGGGTAACTAAATTCTCATCTACTCCTTTTTATGCACGGACCCTGTCTAATTCAAAGTGACAAAAATTGCGAAAGTCAATGGAACTACATTTTAAAGGCAAATTTTAAATAATCCTACATCTTCCACTGAAATCACAAAACACAAGACTGAAATTCTATCGGTGAATGGGGACTGGTATTGACGATCGTTGTACATAATGTGAGCGCCATCTATTGTGGAATTGATGAACTAAACAATGGTACCGACTACCGGTGCATGCCAAGAGGTATGAACACTCATACAATGAGTTTGTGTGCCATGCACACCATTTATATCATATTGAATCAACTAAGCAAATTGATACTTATTAACGGTGGATGTAAATATGGGGTTGTCCAAAATGGACGCAGGAAAGTAAACGCATATTAAAACAAGAAAGACTGATATTCAAATCAAGTTGGGTACTTTATTTTGAAGGTTCATTTATACCATTTATGTATGAAAAATAATATCGCTCAAATGTTCACCACGACTGGATTTACAGACGTCCACGCGATGGTCGAAATTTTCAATGACATTTTGCAACATGGTCGGTTCTATGGCATTTATCTCGGCAATGATGTTGTTTTTGAGTTCTTGGAGGGTGGCTGGTTTGTTGACGTAGACTTTGCTTTTCAAATATCCCCATAAAAAGAAGTCCAAGGGAGTCAAATAGCACGATCTTGGTGGCCATGGCACATTTCCTCTGCGCGAAATCACGCGATCACCGAAGAAGGACTGCAATGGATGGATATTGACGTTGGTTGTGTGGCATGTTGCACCGTCTTGTTGGAAATAAACATCGTCCATATCCATTCCTTCAAGTTGCGGCAAAAAATAGTCCTCTATCATCACGTGATATCGCTCAGAATTGACGGTAACGGCGTCCCCGGCCGCATTTTCGAAAAAGTAAGGTCCGATGATGCCTTTTGACCACAATGCACACCACACAGTCATTTTTTGAGGATGCATCGGCTGCTCTTGATACTCACGGGGATTTTCGTTCGCCCAGATGCGGCAGTTTTGCTTGTTTACCGTCCCATTCAAAGTGAAATGCGCTTCGTCGCTGAACATGATTTTTGATGTAAAATTGGCATCGCTTTGGCGGTGTTCAAAGAGCCAATCTGAGAACGTTCGGCGCGAAAAATCGTCGGCCCGACGCAGCTCTTGCGTCAATTGGATCTTGTACGCGTGTACATTCAAATCCTTGTGGAGAATGCGGAGCAAACTGGTTCTCGAAATGCCCAATTCTTGGGATCGACGCGTTGTTGATTGTTTCGGATCGTCTCTCACACTCTCCTTCACAACAGCAATATTTTCCGGTGTGCGAACGCTCCTTGACCGGCCAGAGCCTGGCAGATTTGCCACAGAACCTGTTGCCTCGAATTTACGCACCAGACGACCGGTGGTTGTTTCGTTTGGGCGGTTGTTGCGACCGAAATGTTCACGAAGCGCGCGAAACGTGTTTTTTAATTTTGCACCATTTTTGTAGTGCTCTTGAATAACTTTAATGCGGTCTTCAATCGAATACGACTCCATAGCGATCAATGGTAATCATTCAACTAACAAAATGACATGTCGGTGACAGAACACAAAGATGGCGTCTATGTCAAATTAACGTTTACTTTCCTGCGTCCCTATTGGACAACCAACCCTTTATTTGTTGATGCTCAAGATGTGCTTGGTAGTACTATTAGCGTCATATGTACTATAATAAGCTAACTGTAATTTCAAAATTTGGTTCTATGAAGAAATCTTTTTGAAGTGCAAAATTTGGAAGCAGTGGCGTGTATGATAGAGCATCTATTGGGTGTTCGTACTTTATTTTTATTTTATTTTGAAAAAATAAAAACAATTACTGATTTTTATCAAAAATATAATTGTTGTTTAAAAAATTACCAAAGGATTTGAGAAATAAAACCAATGAAGATCACAACAAACTTTAATTTCTTATTCAGTAAAATAAATTAAGCAATCAAAAGCATCATTCATAGAAATGGCTCTAAATTGATTTCTAATGCTGAACAAGGGTTGGTGAGCTCAAACTGCGCTAATACGTCTGGATGCACAACTCCAATCTTTCCTATTGGTTTTCCGTAACACATCACATCAGCACAGCGTCCAGGGAAATATGTGGGATCTAGAAAAAAAAATTTGAAAAATTCCGTAATTTGTCACATATTTTTTTATATAAAAAAGCTGTGAAGGAAAAATAAAAATTAATCTACACTACCTGATGTGGCATTCAAATGATACCCATTAATGTTAGAATCCTTGTTTTTGGCCCAAGGCACTTCTAGAAGCAACATTATCCTGTCTAACAAGCCATGGACTATTTCAAATCCGGCAGCTTTGTTGCAATTTACTGCACATATTCTTCTTTCATTTCTCGCCCCCACCTCTGAAACAAAGGATTTAAATCAAGCAATTTAGAAAAACATTCGATTTTCAAGAACATTTTCAGCTTCTGAGTTGAATTCTACTATGGATTAACATACATAACCATTGATTAACCATATACGGAATTTCAACGTCCAAACTACTCGACGATCACTCAACATTCAAGGGGCAACTAGAGATACTCGTCCGACTTACCAGTATCAGGATCTTTGAGCACGACGTCTGATATTTCGAAAATTCTCATTGGGAGGGGCATTTTTTTGTTGCTTGCAATCGTTTTCAAAATGCCCGGCAACAAAGTAGTGCGACATACTTGAAACTCTAGCGTTTTTGGGTTGGATATGTGGACAGCTGGTAGACTACTTATCAACTCAATGCCCAATTTTGTTGAAATATCGTCTTTGGAACACTGAAAGAACAATTTTACTAAAATCCATTGCAAAATAATATCTAGTTCCTGAACTACAATAAGGAATCAAATACAAGTTGTACATTTTTAGTGATTCTTCAAAGTGATGTATATCAGTAAAAAAATTATCGTATTCAGGTTTTGAGAGAAGCATTTTAAACCCTCAAATGTCTAGATTTTGGTTATTTTAGTCTAAGAATGTCTGAAGCTTCCTCGAAAACAGTGTGAAAAAAAAGGCATTTTTTATTTGGGTCCGCGGACTTGGAAAAATGTTTTTGCGCTAAACAATCGCCTGAATATAATAAATAACCTATTTAATTACTTTCAAGTTGCTTTTTTCTAAACCTCGATATCGCCATTTCTTGCAGAGATATTGATTCCTTCATAATATTAGTAATTAATACTTAATGACCCTTTTGGCTTGAATTGTTTTGAAATGTTGATTGTTCACAACAACAAAACGTCTGTGTCGATCAAAGTGAAATTGTCATAGGAATATTGTCGGTATATAGAGATGTAAAAGTCATACTCAATATGGGTCGTTTTGTCAATATTTAAAATGTAGCCCTTGGTTTTCAGAAAACAAAAAAAATTATCCCTTTTTCTCTTGACGCACGAAAATCCACATAATCCTTTTTATACCCCAAATATAACGCAAGATTGTATATAGGATTTATATGACTCCTCGCTTCAGGATCTTTTAAACAACTACACAAGATTCGAATAGATTCTGAAAACATACCAAGGTGAAAGTAAGAGCCTCAGTAAAACCCGCCATCGCAATGGGATACCTGAGTAAATCAGTAAGCTTGTTTATAGGTAGCTGCTCCCCTATCGTACTAGTCTTTGGAAGAGTTCTCTTAATGTTGTTATAACCAAAAGCAATAGCAACATCTTCATAGATATCACAGGCATGAATGACATCCTGTCTGGTAGGAGGAACTGTCACCTTGACAGAATTTTTACTGCCAGGTATCAATTCTGATGTGAGGCACATCTTTGACAGCAGTTTAACAATATTTTCAGGGGTTTCACTGGAAAAAAATCATATTAGATATTAAAATTCTTTTTATCTGATAAGAATCTCATATGATTATACACATCAATTCCTGAAGCAAGAAATGTATAATTTTAAAAATGTTAACTTCATAAAGTTACTTTATTGACAAATATCACACTCTGTATTTAATACTTACTCAATTCCAATTTTTTTGTTGACCTTTTTGACAGAAATATTTTCTTGCCTATACCTCAATGTGGGATATATAGCTTTAGTTCCATTCGGATTTATGACTTCACATTTTTCTACTGTATATTTCGTAGCACAGTACACACTGAACATAGTGACTATTGTATCTAATACTATTTTTGCCTAAAAATGTAAAGTCAAAATAAATTTTTTCCAAAAGCTATTTTCTGAACATGTTATATTAAAATAACTAATGCAAGTCTCTTGGCAAGAACAAATTTCTGTATGATTATTTGACAGACTAAACTGAAATAAATATTTTCTAATAATGATATACCTTTGTTAAATCTGTAGCGGTGCATTCAATGAACACATTCTTTGTCTTAAGTGTAATTTTTGAATGATTACCATTGATTATTGGTGGAAGAGACAGAATTACACCATTCTTGTCTGTAATAACTGGGTATACAGCACTATCCTTAATAATAGGTAAATACTGTTTCAATTGGGCATGGGTCTGGAATAGATAGAAGAATAGATTATCTTATAGAATTTTATCCGGTTTAGGCTTGGTGACTTACTGAATACAAATCCATAAGCTCTATAGCAGTATACTCTTTTTCTTGGTTTAAAGGAATAAACTTGATATCTTTAGGTGGCTTAGCATCATAAGTAAATGGTCCTTGAATTGTGTCATAATCATGAGTACCTATAGCAACCAGGCTACGTTTCCTGCAGATATTTTGATGTAATTTATCCTAGATAAAAAGGAAAAATCATGCAGCATAAAATGAGGGAAAACAAATATTGACAAAATATATATATTGACAAATAAAATGATGAATTGTTAGAACTCAAGGGCAAAGAGCACCTATCAAGAGAATCCAAAACTAAATAACTATAATTCTGAAATGTTATGAATGTGGACGTTTGATACTTTTAATACTGGACCTGCACAGTTCTACATTTGTGTACTGAACCAATTTCACATGAAATTTATATATTTTCAGCAACTACTAGAAGTTTTGTATTCCCTTGGTTGGCATTTGCTACTCTTAGTATTTTATATATAGGTACAGATTGCTAAACAAAACAAACCTGTAGATCAATGAAACTGTTGTAACTATCTTGAGTAAATGTTATATTTCTCAAAATTGCAGCTACTGCGTAGGGTCGTATCTTAGCTGTTTCTGGCTTTATAATAAGCTTTTCTACATCCCCGTTTGCAGGTTTAACAGCTTTGTATATAGGAGGTGGCATACTGCAATAAACAACCTAAGTTTATGAAATTGCCTTTTTCAAACAGCTAGATATACTTACTGGCCTTGGAAGACGAGCAAACCCTGTACAAGCCCTTCGAGGCATAAAAGATCATATCTATTAGCTGGTATGTCAATTTTATATAAAATTTCTTCAGATGCTTGACTCGTTAGTTTAGAATCTCCACCTTGCTCTTTTGCTATGATCTGCTTCTCTGTTGTCTGCAGTTAAAATTGTAATCAACAAATATCATTCGCGAAATTTTTATATAAAATATACTGCCTACAGAGTAAACTCAAAAAGCATTCAAATAATGATTGTTATGGGCTGTAATATTAAAACTCTGGACGCATTAACATTAATTTACGTACCACTTCATCTAATTCTAGACCGAATTCGAAGCAAAGGTGTTGAAATCCAACATCAGCTAGAAAGAAAACATTGTGACAATTAATGAATTACACCGGTACTTTTTAATTTTTGAACTTACTGTAGGTTTTTCCTAATTTTTTGAACAACAAATCTCTCTTTACTCCAACTGTCGGCATTGTATCAAACTTTTAAAGCTCGTTATCAAACAGTTCACCTGAAAAGTGCAAAAATGTGGATGTGTTGAAAAATCCGTAACCTAACCTAAAAGTGACATTTCTGATAGCAACACTTAGCGCCTATATGGGCGGCAACCAGTATTCTAGAAAGCTGTTGCGCCTGTGAGCTGGCAACCAGTATTACTCAGAGCTATTACCTTAGAATCCCGAGATGTGCGCTCGCTCTCTATTCCTCAATAATAATTATCACTTGGCTCTCAAATTTTAACTGCTGATTTAGTATACTACAGAACAGACTCACGTTTCTTTTGTGACATAATATCTAGAAACAAAAAAGTTTTAACGATATCTATGCCCAATTGTAGGTAATTCAGCCAAAAAGGCGATCATAATGTCGGTAACCGTAGCCCTTAAAGCATTGCGGCTTCCATCAGAAATCATCAAATAGCGTCCCCAATCTCCAGAAAACTGTTGTTGGTTCATGTACCAAGCAGCCTGTATATGTATGTACATTACATATTATACATACATATGTATATACATTGTATATATTTAAAGCTAAAAAAGCTTTTTTTCTGAAGTTTAGAATTTTTTTATTCTTTTAAAAACATTTATATACAACTTGAATGTCTAAGTTTCTTTAATATATTCAGTTTTCATTAAAAACACGCTTTTTGTTGTGTTTCGTTTATAAACTAACCTCTTGAACAGACACTTTCTGTTACTGCTATGTCCATTCAAAACCGTAACCTGCATGGTCGGCAACCAGTATTACACAAAGCTGATTGCCTTGCCGCTGATGTAAATCGCGAGATTTGCGCTCCCGCTAGACGTAACTCGCCTCCTTTTCGTCAATTATCACTTCGATCTCAACTTTTAACTGCTGATAACACCCCCCAAACATTTTCCTAAACTTGAATGCTTTGACCACTACTATGCCCAACCAAACCCCCCCCCAAGAATCTACACTAAATCAGCCCTTGTGGGTCATGTAACTAATTCTTCGAATACTTGGTTACATTTCCTCATACATCAAGACAAACATTTTTTTTTTCATATGTTTATTCAATTATAATCTTAAATCTAAATAAAGGGTATCATTTCAACCAAGATCAGTTGGCTTAACATTTGCAGTTTCAGCTTCCTTCTGAGTGGTCTGCTGCAGCAAATTCTTGCTGAACCAAGCAGGTCTAGGTTTGTTCACTTCAACAATTCTTTTGCCATCGAAAAACTCTTGAGGTTTATCATTTTTCTCTCCATTATACAAAACAACTACTTCTTTCTCTACTGGGTCTAACTTCAATTCATTTTGGATGGCATCTTGCATTTCTTTGGTCTCGTCTATCACTTTTTTGTAACAAGTAGCTGAAAATAATAAGCTGTCAACAATCATACACAATGCTAGAACAGACAATGAACACCCTAAAATAAAGAGACATTTCAAACATATATGCAGTCAGATAAATGTAGGGGATTAACTGAGTCACATTTTTTGTGTTACTATACAAAACAGTGCCTTGGTGCGCAACCCAATCAGCCCATCCAATGGCGTGTTCAGTTGAAGAGACCTTTGACAACACTATGCCAGTGTTGCCATTTTTACTATCTAAAAGACTTGAGATGAGTGATTATGATATCAGAAACTTACGACACAGAACTCCAGCCTCATAGTCATCTCCACAAACGTTGCAGACTTTAAGGTCTTTCCTGGGTAGAAGGATCTTTAAAACATAGTCAGGGTGGCCATATTTTCTCTTATGTCTTCTTTCTAATGTCCTTCTGTGTTTTGGTACTGCAAATAGGAACCCATCTCCTATAATATCCTTTATGGTGTTCAATCCAAAGCTTGGACTTGATTTTGTTTGTGGTTGTACTCCCACCAGGGCAAAAGCTTCTGAAAAAAGAAAGCACAACACGTGCAGACAAACAAGTCTTCTCTTTGAAAGATTTTATGCCTTGGTAGGCAAAAGTAGAGCTCTCGTACCTGGTGGATTGCACCTTCCCAAAGAAAGCTCCACAGCATCTATAACCCTGTAAACGACCGAACTCACACGTGTGACCATTCTATGAAGCAGCATGTTTTGCATTTTTCTCTTGGAACTGACTAAAAACCTTTGATATAGATATAACCTCAAAATTTATTTATCTACAAATGAAGTGAAAAAATAACCATCTAGCAAATTGATATAAAGGATTCTCGAAATACGAAGCTTACAGGGTATTTTCTAGAATCTAGACATCCAATGAAGCTGGATTTGTGACTGAAATTTTGAGTAGGTTCCAGTCTTCTCAAAGAGCCATAAAATGATAGCAGAATACTTTTACTTTACTATTATTTATCGTTCAATCCATCAATGTCTAATTATGAAAAACTACACTTTCAATTATGATTTTATCGGCAGTGTTTTGCTTCAACGTTTTTGTGCGTTTTTGAGGTTCGGTTTTCGAAAACACAAGAGTGAGGTTATGTGTTCGAGTCGTGCTAAACTCGATTATGTAATCGCTAAATTCCGTTACCTGCGGGAGGATATCTTCCAAAAACGACTTCCACGGCTCGTTCAAGCCCACGAACGGCAAAATTGAGCCGCGTGAGCAGCTTGTGAAGTGGCATCCTGCTGTTTTGTAGGTTAGACTTGTCGTTTGACGCTCGGTTGGGGCTGGAGAGTGGGGCTCTCGGACACGCAGCGGCGGCGACACATGCGGCGGTCCGGTTCGAAAGAAGGTAGTAGAAAGGCAAAGTCTGCAGAGGATGGCGGCTCTAAGCGGAGGTGGCAGACTGGTCGTGCGTCGGGTGGCTTTCGTCGTTAGCGGACGTGAAAAACTGTGTCATCAATGGAAAAGGGGACATTCGCCCCAGGTGGTGTTCTTCCCACCTTTTCGGAGGAAATCCACCGGCGCGCCCACGTTCGATTTCGGATTGCTCTATGCTAACGGACAAAATACCACCGGAAAGAATTACGAAAAGGTAAGATATTTTTGGGGTTATATTTTTTTAATAAGAGAATTTAAGAATGATACATGGGTGAGCTTTTTATTATTTTTGTTTCAAGCCTTGCATACTGATGAGTATAACGATACTTCTCATAGATTTAGTATTTATCAGTTTTTGCCAATTTGGGGCGATTTGATTTTTAAATCAGGAATTATTTATGGAGGCTTTGGTACTGAGTATATGTTTTGTAAAAAAAACAAAAATGCCCAAATAGGTTGATTACAAAAAAGTAGGGCAGGGGGCGGACGCATTGTGAGACGGGCCCCGGGACACAAGGGTCCCTAGTATGCGACTTATGGGGCCAAGATAAATTTGTTCCTTACAAAATTATGATTGATCATACCAACCCTTGCCCGCTATTCAGGGCGCCATACGAATTTTTTGCTTTGTGCCTCAGAGATCCTAGATCCGCCAATATAATGATTTATAGTATTTCACGTCTTTTAATCAAAATCATTGCGGCGGTTACTGTGATTGCGCGGATACAAAAGCAGTTACGAAGTAACGAGCCGGAGAGTAAAGATAATACCTGTGAAAAAATGATTTGGGGACGCCACTGGCTGTACAATTTTTTCCTATTTTGTGTGAATTGAATGTAGCCCTTCTTGCTTTCGATACAATTTTGCGTAATATATTCATAGTAGTTCTACGTAAGGTGCCTTTATACATATTACGACGAAAATAGACGTGCATGCACGAGTGAATTTTCTATTTTTGTCTGATTTTTCTGCCAACTGTTTTCTATTCTAATTCAAACTGTTTATTTTTGCATGAAGCTGAATGAAATTATCTCATCATTACACGTGTAGCAGATATCTAATAATTTTAGGGAGAGTTTTGATAACATTATAGACGTACTGGTTGATAAATTTGGCATACTTCCAAACGAGACGCGGCTTTAAGTGGAAGAACACAACCGCATGTGACATACGCACGTTTTAACCCCACCAACGACGTTCATTGGGTGATGCCTTCTCGTTTAACAAAGATTCATCCGGAATTTGGATCCAGTTCGGGTTGCCCGTTATACCAAATGTACAAATCTCAAGTAGACCACCCGAAAATTTCGCATCCCTTGGCAGAAATTGTCCAACTCGATTTTCTACTTAGTCTCATTGGCATGCCACTTCAAATCGAACTGACCAATCAACAAAGGGTTGGCTAGTCCAAATGGTGACGACATGCCAATGCGGGTGCATTCCATATAGTCAAAATCACGAAAGATGACTATTACGTCATACGAGTACCATAAATTGTACTGAAGTAATCAATGGACGTACGTCGATGATAAAATCACGATGTCAGGAACATAGTGACAACAAATTATGATTTCGCGAAGTTATAGTCAACGCCAAACAAAGTGGCGTGCACGTCATCAAGGTGGGTGTGTTGAAAAATTTACATTGTTGCCAAACTTTTTGTAAAATAATAAAATTTATTATTTACATATCTAGGTTTATAAGCAATATTAACCTCAAATGAGAACAAAAATAATAGTATAATAAAATTATAGATCTGTACTTGCATAATCATTAAGTATGACAATTATTGATCAGATGACACTATGAAACTACCATATTTAATTGATAGCTTAAAGGTACTGAATAAAAATCCAAATGGGGTCCTCCAAATTTTATGCATGGTATTTATTTTACAGAATTCATACAGAAAAATGCATTCTAAAATTAGGTAAGCTACTGGTGTAAGCTTTTTCTGTACAATAAAGTTTGTCGGAGTTTCTTTCTTCAGCGCTGTCTGAATCTGAATCTTCATCACTCTCAAAGTTGATTATTAAAGGTTCGATGTCTGGTCGATCAAAAATTCGTTCTCTTTCATACCATTTAAAAATTTCTTGCTCAGTATGTCGAACACTATTTTTCCACATGTCTGGGGTAACCGTTTGTAGAGCCTCGTTCCACATATCCAAACAGTCTTTTTCACTGTTACCATCTCTACCAATATGTCTGTTATAGTAACCTTTTGCTATGCCCCAAATTAACTCAATAGGGTTAAATATACAATGGTAAGGAGGCAGACGAAGAACTTTGTGCCCATGTTGTTCCGCCAATTCATCAATCACGTATATTTTAGGTGGTTTGTTTCTAAAAAAGCAGTTATTTTAAGAATAGGAATAAACAAAAGAAATATAAACTGTCGACCAAAATATATATAATTAAGAAGCATTATGTACCGAGCAACAATACTCAATAGCTCTGTTTTAAACATTGTGTTTAAAAATGGTATGTTTTGATTTGTCAACCAGTCTTGGATATTTTTTTTTGTCCATGCATTGTTGGGCACTTTGTTCAATATCATGCTGTGATAAGGGGCGTTATCCAGTATAATCATAGATGGACTCTCCAATTTTTCTAATAACTGATGTTGAAACCATTTCAAAAAATTGTCCAGGTTCATCTCTCCATGGTAATCGCTCAATTTTGTTTTCGAAGAAAATATCGCTTCACTACCCTCAATAAACCCATTTTCATTTCCAGCATGTAATATAATGTATCTAAAATATATTAGTTTTAAATTTTATAGTGCAAATTGTGTAAAAGTACATACCTTTTACCATCTGTTTTAATAGCTTTCACGCTTTTTTGGTTTCCATTTTGCCAAGAGCGACCTATGGTCCCATTTTGAAATATCCAAGTTTCATCGAGGAAGACAAACTGGTATAAGGCCTCAACCTTGGCTTGATTGTATTGCCTTAGAAATTCCACCCTTTTCAAAGCTATACTTGGTAGTTCCATGAGCCCTCGTCGCGGATTGTCCTTAAGCCACTTAAATCCAAGATCTCTAAGCAACCGCCTTAAAGACGTGGCACTACCATCAAATAATGCCCTATCTCTTAATCGAGACCATAAAGTTTGTATCGTAACTTGTTCTTCTGAAACCATGTGTAATATGACATTATAATTTAGTTAACAAATTAATGCAAATTTCTATTAAGTTATTATAATAAGATCTTACTTTTGTGATACATATTATAGATCACTTCTCGAATGGCACTTGTATCCAATGTCGCTGTGTTGGTTACACGTTTAATATAACTCCGCTTTTTCTTGGGCGATTCTAAATTTGCATCACTTTTCACACCCTCGGAAATACGACTAACTGTCCTTAAACTAATTTTTAAAGCAGCAGCAACACGCTACAAAAAATGAAATAAAATTTCACTATTATTAATATACATTAAATATAATTATTAGTAACCTACCTCTTGAACAGCATTTAAAGGCAACAAAGGCCCGTTGTTGTCCCTTTCTTGCTCAAAGTAGTGCATTAACGAGGCCACGAGTTCCTTACACCGACTATTTAACTGTTTGGGCATCTTTATATACCAAAATTGCCTTTATCTACTCGTAAAATGAATAATTTTGTTTTGAAACAAACAGTTGTTGATTTACAGTATGCGGGGCCAAAGGATTTATAAAGATTTGAAATGCCACAAATTGATTCAGTGTCAAAATTAATACAAATGTCAGTTCCCAGTTTAAATAAGTTTCAAGGTGACAATGTGTCAACGCTGCGAAATCGGTTTAGTGCGTTTACATGTCGATAAGTGATTGGAGCGTTTGCAAAACATTTTATTTCGCATAATGCGTCTAAATTTATCAGAAAGCAACTTATGTGATATTTTAATAACAATGTTTATATGACTATTAACCATAATAAGAGAGTAATGACCATTTTACAATTTATATATCACATTAATATGAAACTGCAATAGAGCAATTGTTTGTGATAGAAACCTAGGCATTAGGTCGGGGAATTTTTATCGTGATGACGTGCACGCCACTTTGTTTGGCGTTGACTATAGTCAAAATCACGAAAGATGACTATTACGTCATACGAGTACCATAAATTGTACTGAAGTAATCAATGGACGTACGTCGATGATAAAATCACGATGTCAGGAACATAGTGACGACAAATTATGATTTTGCGAAGTTAGGTTATTTCACTGTTTATTTTTATTTTCATTTTATTTCATGGTTTTGAGTGATACCTTAATAATAATTTCAGTGGGGAGTTTTTGTTTGGAAAGAAAAACATTATAGTAGAATACCTTAAGACAGGAACACCAAAGACCAAAGTATTATTCGAAAACAACCTAACCTGCTTTAACATAACCTAACTATTCATCTTTCAAATATGATCGATCATGCAACATGAAAACAGCGTCTTTCTTTGTCGGATTCATGCAAATTAGCAATACAGTTTGTTTAGACAATAAAATTCTGTTTGTCTCTGTCTAACATATCTGAAACTTCATTAAAAATAGCCACAAATCGCTGTTGTTTGTCTTTACTAGAGACTAAAATGATGACTAACAGTCATTTCGCGTATATTTTAAATTTACCGTGTTTTTTACTATTTCTTATTAATTCTCATACTTTTCAAACGCTGAAGTATGAAATAAGATTTGACAGTGTCATTCTATAGCTGTAACTAAAAATAATTAACCAATATTTGAATCGTATGCACATTCCGTATTGTGCATTTTTTTTATTTTTGCTATAAATTGGAAAGTACTGCTGCGATTCGGATGAAATTTGGACACAAGGTTAATGATACGTCCAGGACGAAAAAGCTCAATAGTTTTTTAAAATCGATCCAGTGGCAGCGGAGAAAAGGGACAAAAACAAAAAACATCGGTTTTTTACGCCTTCGATGACCGTATCACTATTGAATAAATGTTATGGGTAAAAAATTAGGGGGTGGGGGTTGTAGGATCTTTGGGAGGCAGGGTATATCCCATTAATCGATTTTGGTACATCGGTGGACACTGATTCGTCGAACCACTAGTGAGAGGTTGAGGATAGTACAATACAATAGCGTTTTGTATTTGTAGACGTGAAACGCCCGGTCTATACGCGTATCGAGTATGTATAAAGATAATAAGGCCAGAAGAAAGTGGTTTAAAAGGCAAGAAGCGGCGGTAC